CTCTGACTTCTCGTCTGGCTGCAGCTTGCTGGGAAAAACACTTGAGAGTCTTTTGCGCTCCACACCCACGCACTTAAAATACCAGACCCATAGTTCATTTTCATGAGGGAATTTTGGCTACGAGAACGTGCTCCTCGCGCCACAGCTGCCTCTTCTGCGTGCAGGTGCCGAGCGAGAAGGGCCAGAGTCAGAGCAGGACGGGGAGGGGCGGGGGCGGAAGTGGGCGGTGCCGGAATGGGTGGGCGGGGCCTGTGGGTGGAGAGGGACAGAGTGGGGAGGGTGGGCGGGGCCTGGTGGGGGCGGGGCCTGTGGGTGGAGAGGGACAGAGTGGGGAGGGTGGGCGGGGCCTGGTGGTGGGCAGGGCCTGGCGGTGGGCGGGGCCTGTGGGTGGAGAGGAGAGTGGAGGGTGGGCGGGCCCCAGTGGTGGGCGGGGCCTGGCGGTGGGCGGGGCCTGCAGGTGGAGAGGGACAGAGTGGAGGGTGGGCGGGGCTTGGCGGCAGGTAGGGTCTGGCGGTGGGCGGGGCTGGTGGGGGGCGGGGCCTGTGGATGGACAGGTACAGAGTGGAGGGTGGGCGGGGCCCGGCGGTGGGCGGGGCCCGGCGGTGGGCGGGGCCCGGCGGTGGGCGGGGCTGTGGAAGCGCAGAAGGACCCCCGGGTCCGCGCTGGCCGGCAGGTGGTCCGCGATATCAAGCCACCCCTGCCTGGTCCTGGTCGTGCAAACATGCAGGAGATAGAAGGCAGCATTTTCCCAGAATGGAAAAAATGTCACACACACCTGTGAGAAAACATCATCACCTATTCCCGGTGTCTACAAGGTGATAAGCAAACACCCGGCCTCAAAGCGGGGGAGGTGTCCGCAGTGAGGTCCCTCGCCCCTGGCCACCGACCCTCTCACTGCCCTGTCCCAGCGCCCCGCACCTGGGGGCGGGAGCTGCTCGGGCGCCTCCTGCGGCTGCACGCGCTGGTGGGCAGAGCGAAGGCTTCGTAACCGCGAGCGAGGGTTTCCCAGACCCAGACGCTTGGGTGGAATTTGTCCGAGTTAAGCAAGGGGCGTCGGTCAGCGCAGGCCTGCCAGGCCGGAGGCCCAGTAAGAAACGGCTTCTGATGCCAGCCCGGGCCTGCGCTGCGCCTCCAGTTCAGTTTGGGTCCATTAGAGTCGCTAGAGCTGTTTTCACTTTGGGGGGTGATGGGAGATGGGTGGGCAGTGGTAGGACATGGGAAAAGTCCAGATTCCTGGTGTTGGTGACACTGAAATTCCAGGAAGAGATTTAGGGCCTCGGGGCAATCATGAAGCTCAGCGAGCATAGGCGGGGAGATCTGGCGGCTGCTGCGTGGACCCGCTGTGTGACTTTAGGCAAATAACTTAACCTCTCTGAGTCTTAGCAGGCTTTCGAGCCCGTTAAGAACACTAAAATCAATCCTGTGTATTTCATGAAAATGTTGTGAGGACCACATGACATAGTAAATGGAACAGCCTTTGAACGTTGTAAGTTCTAAACAGACCTAAAGATATGAATCTTAAAAAAATGACTCTGTCTTTTAGGAAATCAAGAATGGGATGGAGGTGGCCGGGCCACCCAGTGTGGGAGTGTGTCATGGGGGTTAAATGCACAGGTGCCTGGAGAGATGTTGTCACCCGCAGTGTCAACCCTGAGCCCTTACAACCGTTGGTGTTTGGTCTGGGTAGAACAGTGTTCCCTCGAAATTCATGTCCACGTCAGAATGTGATCTTATTTAGAAATAGGGCTGTGCAGGTGTCACCAAGTTAAGGTGAGCTCTTACTGGAATACAGTGGACCCTAAATCCAGGGAGACTGGGAGACAGAAGAAATGGCAGAGGAAAGAGTGTCACGTGATGAGGGAGGCAGAGACTGGAGGGACAGGACTACAAGCCAAGGAGTGCGGCCACCCCAGGGGCTGGCGGGCAAGGAAGGGTAGACGCATCCTTAGAGCCTGCAGAGGAAGCACATCCCTGCCAACACTTTGGCTTTGGACTTGACCTCCAGAACATGGAGACAATGCACTTCAGTCATTTTAAACCACTCAGGTTGCGGTCATTGGCACAGCTGCCCTAGGAAAGGAACACAGCATTTCCATGAAATCTGCAAGGCCTGAAGTTGCCAGCCACAGGGAATGCACCCAGGAGCTCACACTCACCTGCACAGAGATGGGTGCCTGGGAGGCTGCATTCTCAGGAGATAGCGTCAGAGTTGAAAGTGATCCTGTACGTATCCCATAAACCCTCCAAGTGCACGCCAGGAAAGGGATCTGGAGAGAGCAAATCCTTTGCATAGGAGCTCGGGTCTCCTAACTTTCTTGCTCACGTCACCCCCTGACCCCCCAATCCCGCACACTCACAGACACAGACCCGCCCCCGCCCCGCCCAGACTTCCTTGGTCAGTGGGGAAAGGCCATTGGCCGTTGCTTATATCTGCAGGAAACTTTTTTTAAGTATTTCAATCCCTCCCTCCCTGAAGCCCCCTCCCCCTGTCATTTCCCACCTTCCTGCAGGGAGGCCAGGGGTAGAGAGGAAGCCTTCAGGGGTATCAGCACTTGCAGACACAAACCCCACTCTACCCAACGCTGTCAAACAGGGGCAAAGGGCCCACAGCAGCCACAGAGTACATGGTGATCACCAAGGAAGGCGCTGGGGAGATGAGTGATGGCCCTGCTTTGAAGGCAGGAAGCCTGAGACCAGGGGAGGCATGAGGGAGCCCTGGTGGCTGGTGAGGTGCTAGGAAGAACCCTAAGTAGAAATGCAGTGGTTTGTGAGTGCAGTACAGGGGAGCAGAGCCTGGCAGGGGGAGGGGTGTGGGGAAGGAGAGGAGGAGGAAGAGTAAGAAAGGACAAGAGGGTGGGGTCTTCTTATCAGAAGCCCCTGAAAGTTGATTCTGGGATTTGAGGCTACCGGTGACACCTCTGCTGGGCTCTGAGCTGGGAGGACGACTGGGGGGCCTGGTGGACGGGCTGCTCCCCGCACTGCGGGATCTTGGCTGCTCTGCTAGAAGCCAGAGACTAAACAGTGGCCTGGGGGGCAGGTGACCCCAAGGCTGCCTCCACGCCGCTGTGCCCTCACAGTGGGCCTGGCCAAGGCTGCCCCCGCCCCTTCCTCTACGTCAACCAGGTACCAGGGCACAAAGGCAATCTGAGGCTGTCCTAAAAATGGCATGTCCCTGAAGCCCAAATAGACTCTACTCCAGGTTCCAGGAGTGAGGTTCACCAATGGGGAGATGAATCTGGATGCAGGGCCTCGGGGCCCCTGCAGTGCCCCATGGGGACCTCCCTAGAAAGCATCCCAGCCTGTTGGACAAGTCAGCTGGGACTTGGATATAAAGTCATGGAGGAAGAAGTCGTTGCCGTCACCCCAACATCTCATAGATGTTAATGTGGAAAGAACACAGACCTGGGGATTGCAGGGGTGTGCGGCAGTGGCGGGCGGGGGTCCTGGTGAGGCATCCCTGACTCACTGTGGCCACAAGTTATATTTGCATGAAGTCTGTTTCCTTGGCCTTCTTTTGTATTAAAACATACGTGGCAGCTGAAAAAAAGCCTGCTCTTCCGAGCTTGGGGAAGGAAGACAGCTGGATTCTCAGGGTGGATTTTGGAGCAGATCGGGGAAGGCATGGACACATTTGTTTTCCTCTCCTTCATTTTTTGGCCTCACAGCATGCTGCATGGTTAATAGGAGAAACTGTTTGTAGGAGAACCGCTCTGCTGATGTGCAAAGTCTCGGCATCTGCTTTAGTCAGACCTTAGTGTCCTATAATCGAGTTGTAGCAAATAGAGAACAATAAAGTTGCGCACCATGTACACACACACCTATTTGAGTACCTTGTGCTATTGCATGGAATGGTTTTCCTCTTGTTAACTCTTTTAACCTCTCTGAAATTCTGTAAGGTAGGAGAGTTGTATGTACCCATCCTCCAGGTTAGGAGAGGCACAGAGAGGCCTAGAGTCTTGCCAAAGGTCAGCTAACCAGAATTCAGACCTAGAGTCCACGCTCCAAAACCATTTAGCCAAGAGGAAGTATTTTTAAGTTATTCATATATTTATCCCCAATCACTCTATCATTAATTTTAATTACTAATATATTTATACATTATTAATTCTACTATTAATCCTAATTAATAATAGGCTTATACTAGTAATTATACATTCATTTCGTTATTAGCATATTTATTATCTACATGTTTATATGTTAGTGGTTATATTCTAAATTATGAACATTTTTAGAAGTAATTTTTTTAATTATTTAATAATTTTTAAAAGTTATTAAAAGTCTCGCACGAGACATGCAGTGAAGGCTCACATCTCCTCAGTGGAGGTAAAATGTTTCCATAGAAATCTATGTTTATTCTAATTGTGCTAATTAAATCTCAGTCTGTCGGTCTTATAGCCTGAAGTCCACTACTGACTATATATTTTGTTTAGCCAATGCCGTGAGTGCCTCTAATAACATCTAGCCTTTAAAATAATATTGAAAGCCAACCAGCAATTAGTATTTAGTATTTTTAAAATGCAGAGAAAATAATACTAACCTAGCCTGTCCTCAGTCTTAGAATTCTATTTTTCCTTACCCTGGGGGGGTGCAGACAGCCTCAGAGGGGAAGAGGGATGTGGGTTTTTGTGTGTTTTATAAAAGGGGGGACTGTGCAAGGTGGGGGGCATGGTGGATAGCTGCCAGTCTGAGCCGTTTTTTCAGGAGTCTTGACTTGAAAGAGGACAAATGCCCATCTCTGCTGATCCGGGACCATTTATTAATGATGATTGAAGTGGTATTAATGATCGAGTGGAGTGGTGCAGTGAGACCGGCACCATAGGTGTACTTGGCAGAATTTTAGCAAAGCCCAACTCCAAGAAGTGTTGGAAAGCCCAGGAGCTTGTGCGGAGGTCCTGCTGCCTTCCCGGCGGGCGGGCTGCAGGGCAGGGACTAGGGCGGGGCCCCGCAGGCATGTCCAGGTCCTCACCTCATTCTTTGGTGCCTTTTGTGTGTTCTCACAGGGAAGAGCTTCACGCTGACCATCACGGTCTTCACGAACCCACCACAAGTCGCCACCTACCATAGAGCCATCAAAATCACCGTGGATGGACCCCGAGAACCTCGAAGTAAGTGGCCCCCCTGGGGCTGGCACTTGCTGTGGGCTGGTGCACTCAGAGTGTCAGGGACAGTGTCTGAAATCCCTCGGCTTGGATTGACATCACTCAGCGTGACTCGGGCCTCTGCTGGGGGAGGGGGTGTCTTTGACAGGGGCTTGGGGAGGGGTGTCAGGCCCTGCAGGGAGAAAGCATTTTGCTGTAGACTCTCTCCCTGCTCAGAGGTTGTCTCTGGACTCTTTGAATCATCCACCTATAGGAGAAAATCAGTCTGACTCAAGTGCCTGGAACACTTGCAAGCATGTGGACTGCGTGAGACTAAGGAATAGCCCCGCAAATAAAATTCAACAGAGTCAGAAGCAAATAGTGACTAGGAGGTTGTTCAGGCACAGAGGAGGCCGGGAACAGCCCTGGAGGGCAGAGCAGACCACAGGGGCTGCTCATGGCCACACGCCGGCCTTTGATTCATCTGGTAAGCCAGACAGAACATGCTGAAAATGACCCTTTTCTTTCTGTGGCACCGATCAAAATCTGATTCCAGGATTGTTTAAAATAGAGAATGGCAGGGAAAGGGAGTGCCCCGGGAAAAACCAGTAAATATAGAAAATGGCACCAAAAAAAACAGCTCCTGTGAGGAAACCTTTTTAAAAAAGGAGTGAGTTGTTTAGTCTGCAGAAAAGATGTCTTCACGGTGACTTAATGACTATCTTTGAGTAAATACGAGAGTAACTCTTTTCCAGAACCACACCCTTCCCCGGGATGGCGGCTGGGTCACGGTTCCAGCGCTTAGAGCCAACTGGAGCGCCAGCCTGGCATGCGAGTCCTCTGATCCCTATCAGGTCCCGGGGAATGAGTGTTCTCTGCCCCCGGGTGAGGGTGGACCACCCTGGACGCCGAGATGCGGGAGGCAGGGCTGTACCGCAGAGCAGTGGGGTATCTGGGCTCTGGGGCAGAAGCATGGAGTTCCGGTTCAGGCACTTTGGTCTTGCAGATGTTGGAGCCGCTTTGTGCCTTGGTTTTCTCACCTGCAAAATGGGAGTAACATGAGCACTTCTTGATCAGATTGAATGAAACAGTGCTGTGTGCCGGGCTCAGAATGCAAGCAGGAACGTGAGTGAGTCTTTGTAGTGCATCACTGCGGCTTCTCGCTGGGGACAGGCCCCTCTGAGGACCTTCCCGTGGGTGCCAAGGGAGGCTCTAAAGAAACCCCTGGGGCTCACGCTCTGTAGGGTCATACTGGGCTAATGGCCACCTTTCCTGCAGTCCTGGCCATGACCTCACAGTGTTTCTGTCACCTGCTACAAGTATCCCCAGTGCAGCCTCCGCTTTCCCAATGCGATGCCCCAGAGCGGGCAGCACCCGGCAGAGAGCCAGGGACAGCACCCCCTCCCGGACCTGGTGTTCCTCCTGCGGTCCCCTTGGTTCTGCTTATCATGCTGCCCGACTCCCTCCACTTCTGACCTCACTTTCCCTTCTCAGCCTTTTCACTTTAAGCCCATGTAGATTTTCCGGTCATGCCCAGACTCAGAAAACTTTGGGGTGTGGTAGCATCCCCTGATTCCAATTTATGTGTGAAAAGCAAGCCACAGGCTCAGGACCACACAGCTACCACCAAACCTAGTGCAGACGTTTCCAGTCAGGACGGCAAGGTAAAGACAGACAGGACCCTGCCGTCAGCATCACAGAAACACCCGGCAGGCAGGGACTCCAGCAAGGAGTGGGGTGGGGGCCTGGCAGTCATGAGGTGTGAGGACATTGAACCTGAGTGCATTTGCACTTTGCAGAAGGCACACTGAGGAAGCTGTAGAATCTCTATCTTCAAAAGTAGAAGCAGCAGCCGTCTCCGGGATAGTTCAAATGGCCTGGAGGAAGAAGGTGTAAGCAGGGGGCCCCTGATGTGTCTTCAACTTCCACTAGTCTCTGGTGCTCACAGAAGAGCAGGCTTTGCCCCACTGCCAGGAATTCCTGCGACATTCAAAGAACTAAGGAGGTGGTCAAGCTTCAGACAGCAAATGGTGGCGGCCTGAATTCGAAGTACTGGCCATCAGAGGGGACATGTGGGGCCGGGGCCTTTCCTGGGTGTAGGTTACGCTCCCTGCTGCTTTGTAACTTAAGAAACAGTCTTTATTGAAAGGGGCCTTTGAACAGACAGAAGGGGTTTGCTTCTAAAAGTCACCCATTTTTCGGGAGTCTTTCCTGCTGAATGAAATGTGGGGTCTAAGAGGTAATCAGTGTAAAGAAGATAAAAAGAGGGACTTCTCGAAGAAAAGTGAAATGCAGAATGCCAGGCTACCCAGCGTGATGACTCTTCTCCCCATGAAGGGGGGGGCGGGCGGGAATGGAGGAGGGAACACGTGTCACCAATTGTTTCAGTGAGCTGCTGTTTTCGTCACTGTTGAGAGTCATGATTCAAGGCCGGGATTTCTTTTTGATGGAATTCTGCTCACGGCTGCTCTTCTTTTCTTTTAAGAGAAATTTGACAGACCGTTTCCCTGTGGTGTTTTAGATATAATTAGCACATAACCGTGTGTGCTAGGCCACTCCCTGGTGAGCTTGAGATTTACAAGATGATGATGTGATAAATGTACAGAAGGTGAAGGAAACGATTACCCAGTGAGGTCCCTTAACATACCCGTCACTTCATGGAGCTGTGATCTGTGTGTGTGTTCAGAACATTCGGACCATTCTCTCAGCACCTTTCAAATACACAACAGAGCACTCACTGTTAACGACAGTCACTGTGCTGGCTCTTTGGTCCCCGGAGATTATTCATCTTATAACTGGAGGTGTGTCCTCTTTGAATATCTTCACTCATTTCCTCCACCCCCAACTCCTGGGGCAGCCTCCAAGCTCCTCTTCTGTTTCTATGAGTTTGGCTTTCTTTTAGTCCACCTATTAGCGAAATATGTCTGACTTTTTTCTCTCACCCTAATGCCCTCAAGGCTTATTCATGTTGCAAATGCCAGGTTGTCCTTTTTTATGGCTGAATGATATTCCATGGTCTAGATCCACCACATATTCTTTATCCATTCATTTATCATTCTTTATCCATTTCCATAGACTTTGAGGCTGTTTCCGTGTCTTGGCTGCGGTAAATAATGCATAGTCACGTTCTAATGTCACAAGGTCTTGACGTGCCCAGTAGGACACCCAGACAGCTTCAAGTCTGTGCGGTAATAAGACCTCCCAGGTCCCTTCTATTGCGCTGGTGCTTTGAATTCTGGGCGATTTGGTCAAAATGGCCTGGCATTGCGAAGTGGAATCCTTCTGAAAGTTTTCTTACTTAAAGACTGTGGGGACTGGGCAGGACTGAGAGCCAGATAGTCGCAGAGGTGAGAAGCAGCAGCCCCGGGGAATGAGATGACTTGCCTAGGTTGAAAAGAAATGGTTGGTGACAAGGCCGGGAATAGAATGAAAAGCTCCTGCCCCCATCCTCACTCTCACCTCCCTCCCTGCCCCCTCCCCTCCCCTTCTCTCCATGCACACCTGCCGCAACAGGTGTGCCCAAGAGGACTGAAAATGTTTTTCGTTTCCGAGGGTTACTTGCTGCTTTTCCCATTCCACGGGATTTTATTTTTTACATCTCTTACCCATAGAGAAATTATTATTTGTTGAAAATAACATTTTTATGGAAAAAGAATAGCATGAGAAGCACACTCTGTGGGGAGCTGGGCAAGCCCAGCGGGCACCTGCTTCAGTCCAGAGGGAGGAGACTGAGTGCCTGTGAGCACGTGGGAGGGGCATGTCCCTACGCACAAAAGATGGAATGGAAGGGAAGGCTATTTGAGAGATGATTTTTATGCAGTTTTTATATTCTGGGGAATCTGATGAAAACTCCAGCTTCCAGCCCATGTGTCTATAACTTAGCCCTCGTGTCTGTGATGCCGTGATGTTGACGTGTCAATGCGTGTCCTCTATGGACAGGGCACAAAATGATTTGAATGCGTGAGTGAGCCCAGTGCCTTGGAGGAAGGCGTTTTGCTAAGGACAGGTTGGGAAGAGCCAGTCAGGGCCCTAATGGACCCCTGCGTGGGAGGGCGTCCCAGTGGTGTGGAATGGACTGTCATTTGATGTCATGGGCCATCGCTGCCTGGCCAGGTATCTGAGACATCTGGATCACTGAGTAACCCAATTAAAATTTGAACAGTTTAATAAGACAAATACTGGGGTTAAAGGAATTCTGTCCTGGGGTTAAAGGAATTCTTTAGAGAAACTGTGGCGTCTTGAGATTCACAATAATAGATAACTAGGCAGAGGTGTTACTTAAAAACTTTAAAATAGGCTACTTCCTGGGGCCTTAGCCTTTTTGCCAACTAGCCCGTGGAAGAGGGAGTTAGAGTTAAGATAGATTATGGAAGGGCCTGGCTCCCCATCACATATAATTTTCTTCTATGATATTGAATGTAAAAACAAGCCCCCAATATATATGTAGAGAGAAAAGAAACAGGATCCTTATTTATAGGTGGTGACTGTGCTTCAAGTGGAAACTAGGCGTGTATGAGGTACCAGTAAACCTAAAATGACAATGGACCTAAAAATATTTAAAATTAAGTTTTCCAAAAAGCGTGAGAAGAGCAGAAATATTTATGGATTGTTCTTGTGCTTGATGAATAGGCAGTTCTTGTTTTAAAATAATGTTATTTTCTCTTAATAAAAATGCCTAATACTTTTGACTAAGACAATAAAATAAAACTTAAAAATATAATGAGATCTATAATATGTAAATATATGTACTATATCATAAAATGAAAGACATAATAATCGCCTACAGAGAGTCCCAATAGTTGCCCAGCACTTTTCAGAGTGTTTCATGTAGAGAGTCCCTGGCCCAAGGTCAGCAGCGAGGAGGCCAGGCTGAGACAAAGCAGTGCCGACGCTGCAGTCCACAGACGCCAGTGTCTATTTTTAAGATGGTACCAACTGCTCCTTGAGCTTCATTATATTGAAATTTCTTTCTGACATTTTTTTATTAGGAGAGCTTATCAATAAAATTCTGGTTCAAACGCAGTTTG